GAAAATAGCAGAAATCAAATTAATACATTTAACCAAGCTGTCTTTCTGCTTTCTTAGTGGAAAGATTAACTCCTATTTTAGAGAGGTTAACATCCCCATTCTTACATGGAGGTATGTAGATGGATAATTTCCTTAGTCTTGCACTTTAGCATCTAGGTAGGCATGGAAAGAAATTAGAGCATGGGTTACCATATTGTTTGTTTTAGCAAATGCTTAACTCCTATTACTCAATGATTCAAATGTCTGTGGCTCCATTCAAGGGTAAATAAGATCAAAATCAGCTGAACTCAGAGAGGTTGCACATTGTTTGTGGTGAAGGAAGTTGATGAATGTTTTGAGAGCCCAAGATGGATTATTACGACAGATCATGGCGGGCAGGAAACAGAGCAGAAGAGAGGGCAAACTGATGGGAAACCCTGAGTTCATCAAAGGAAAGGGAGAGGATGAACCAACTGGCATCATAAATTCTCATGTGAATCTAATGACATTATCTGGCAAACAGACTTTAAAAACTCCTGCTTTTAATGAGCCTCGAATTTGGCAAAGTATGACTTATGTACATGGATTGCTAACTCACTCTCAGATCTAGCTTTGAGACAGGCTTGTGTGATAAAGTGTTTCATATAAACATACGTTCACAAAAAAAATCTTTACTCAGAAAAATAAAGATAAGAAAAATGGCTCTTTAAAGTCTGAAATTCTTGCTGTTTCCCACAGTCTATTAACATGGAAGCGGGTGGTGATGGTTCAGCCAAAGCTATTTTTGATAGTTCATCTATCTCTGTAATTTTAAAAACTTTATTTGAATTACTGGACAATTTAAAGTTGTATTATGTTTAAAATGGCTACCTGTATTATTTTAATATGTTTGATTTGATTTATTATTGTCATAAATGCCGAGGTACAGTGAAAAGTTTTGTTTTGCTTGCAGTACAGCAGATTTAATATAATTAAATATTAATTCAAATTGCTGGGTAATACAACTTTTAGGTTAAATCAACTTTGAATAAAAGTAAATTGGATTGATTTTCTTTTACTTTGACTATTTAAGTTCTCCTGTGATAATAAGAAAAAGTCTATGCATAACGCACCTTTCATGATTATCAAACATCTCAAAGCACTTTACAACCAGTGAAGTATTTTAGGTGTAAATACTGTTGCAATCCCTATAGAGATGGACAACTTTTAAAGTGACATGAATTACTCTTGACTGACTCAAAGGGCCACATGAAAACATTTTACATTTAAGGTTTCACAGGAAAAAAAAACACATTGAAAGCAACATTGACTGCATATTATTCAGTAGGCAACAAGTAGTTTAAAGAGGGAAATGATAATCTCAGAACAGCATTTGCCCCCACAACTTGGTGACATGCTTGAAAACTCCATGGTTCATTTATATATTATGCTACACTATTTGCAGAATTGTAGTCACTACAAGAAACATCCCAAAGATACCCATAACCTCTGATGGACTCACTTTCCCCACTTCACTGACTCAAACCAACTTCCAGCAGCAATAGAGATAACAAGGTGTAGAGCTGGATGAACACAGCAGGCCAAGCAGCATCAGAGGAGCAGGAAAGCTGATGTTTCGGGCCTAGACCCTTCTTCAGAAATGGGGGAGGGGAAGGAGGATCTGAAATAAATAGGGAGAGAGGGGGAGGCAGATAGAAGATGGATAGAGGAGAAGATAGGTGGAGAGGAGACAGACCGGTCAAAGAGGCGGGGATGGAGTCAGTAAAGGTGAGTGTAGGTGGGGAGGTAGGGAGGGGATAGGTCAGTCCAGGGAGGACGGACAGGTCAAGGGGGCGGGATGAGGTTAGTAGGTAGGAGATGGGGGTGGGGCTTGAGGTGGGAGGAGGGGATTGGTGGGAGGAAGGACAGGTTAGGGAGGCGGGGACAAGCTGGGCTGGTTTTGGGATGCGGTTGGGGGAGGGGAGATTTTGAAGCTTGTGAAATCCACATTGATACCATTGGGCTGCAGGGTTCCCAAGCGGAATATGAGTTGCTGTTCCTGCAATCTTCGGGTAGCATCTTTGTGGCACTGCAGGAGGCCCAGGATGGACATGTTGTCTGCGGAATGGGAGGGGGAGTTGAAATGGTTCGCAACTGGGAGGTGCAGTTGTTTAGCGCGAACCGAGCGTAGGTGTTCTGCAAAGCGGTCCCCAAGCCTCCATTTGGTTTCCCCGATGTAGAGGAGGCCACAACGGGAACAGCGAATGCAGTATACCACATTAGCAGATGTGCAGGTGAACATCAGCTTGATGTGGAAAGTCTTCTTGAGATGGGGGTGAGGGGGGAGGTGTAGGGGCAGGTGTAGCACTTCCTGCGGTTGCAGGGAAAAGTGCCGGGTGTGGTGGGGCTGGAGGGGAGTGTGGAGCGGACAAGGGAGTCACGGAGAGAGTGATCTCTCCGGAAAGCAGATAAGGGTGGGGAGGGAAAAATGTCTTTGGTGGTGGGGTCGGATTGCAGATGGCGGAAGTGTCGGAGGATGATGCGTTGGATCCGGAGGTTGGTGGGGTGGTACGTGAGGACGAGGGGGATTCTGTTTTGGTTGTTATTGCGGGGAGGGGGTGTGAGGGATGAGTTGCAGGAAATGAGGGAGACACGGTCGAGGGCGTTCTCGACCACTGAGGGGAGGAAGTTGCGGTCCTTGAAAAACGAGGACATCTGAGATGTACGGGAGTGGAATGCCTCATCCTGGGAGCAGATGCGGCAGAGGCGAAGGAATTGGGAATAGGGGATAGCATTTTTGCAGGAAGGTGGGTGGGAGGAGGTGTATTTTAGATAGCTGTGGGAGTCGATGGGCTTGAAATGGATATCGGTTTCTAGGTGGTTGCCCGAGATGGAGACAGAGAGGTCCAGGAAGGTGAGAGAGGTATTAGAGATGGTCCAGGTGAACTTAAGGTTGCGGTGGAAGGTGTTGGTGAAGTGGATGAACTGTTTGAGCTCCTCGTGGGAGCACGAGGCAGCGCCGATACAGTCATCAATGTAACGGAGGAAGAGGTGGGGTTTAGGGCCAGTGTTGGTACGGAAGAGGGATTGTTCCACGTAACCTACCAAGAGGCAGGCATAGCTTGGGCCCATGCGGGTACCCATGGCCACCCCCTTTGTCTGTAGGAAGTGGGAGGAATTGAAAGAGAAGTTGTTGAGGGTGAGGACGAGTAAGCGGATGAGGGTGTCAGTGGAGGGGGACTGGTCGGGCCTGCGGGACAGGAAGAAGCAGAGGGCCTTTAGGCCATCTGTATGGGGAATGCAGGTATATAGGGACTGGACGTCCATGGTAAAGATGAGGTGTTGGGGACCGGGGAATTGGAAGTTCTGGAGGAGGTGGAGGGCGTGGGTGGTGTCACAGACAAAGGTAGGGAGTTCCTGGACCAAGGGGGAGAAAATGGAGTCCAGATAGGTGGAGATAAGTTTGGTGGAGCAGGAGCAGGCTGCTCTTCCTGCAGCAATACCCTGCTGGTGAATCCTTCTCCTGGTCTTGCAAGGGCAAATCTTTTGCTTTCCATAAATTGCTTTGGATTCTGTCTCTTTCATAGAATCCCTACTGTGTGGAAACAGGCCCTTCAGCCCAACAAGTCCACACCAACCCTTGCAGCATCCCACCCAGACCCATCCCCCTATAACCCACACACTCATGAACACTACAGGCAATTTAGCACAGCCAATCCACCTAGCCTGCACACCTTTGGACTGTGGGAGGAAACTGGAACACCCGGAGGAAACCCACGCAGACACAGGGAGAATGTGCAAACTCCACACAGACAGTCACCCAAGGCTGAAATTGAACCTGGGTCCCTGGCGCTGTGAGGCTGCAGTGCTAACCACTGAGCCACCGTGCCACCCCTTTGACCACCTGCATTCTGCCTGGTGGCCAACAGGCACAAGAACTTTCCCTTGCTGTTTCCAACAGCTATGATTCCTGTGTCGTGTTCCTCCCTCTCTTTGAGACCCTTTTTCTCTCTGTACCCAGGCTTTGACAGTCAGTAAGCAAGCAATAGCAAACAGGTGCCAGTCCCTTTGTGTTTAGATGTTACATTTGGTCCTTACATTTCAATAGGAATTTTGTAGGTTTCCCCAAACCCATCCCCCGGCCCAAGCCACACAGCCACTTCTCCCCATGGCAATGAGATCATTTTGGTTTATCTTTGGACTGAGATATAGGAGGTTACAAGCTCCATTTTACTTTTAATTAAAACAGACAGTTTAAAACATGACCATCTTATAAACCTGCTTATTTATAACAGTACCGTTATAAAGTAAGAGCTGTGGCAGTCAATCTGCACAGGGAAAGCTTCACAAATTGCAGGACAGTGGTGGCCAGATAATCTGTTTTTGTGACAGTGATTGAGGGATAAGGACACCCTTGCTCTTTTCCAAAATGATGCCATTCGATCTTCTGAACAGGCAAGTAAGCCTTACTGAAAGGCCTCATCTGAAAAATGGTACCTCTCTGACAGTGTTGCACTTTCTCTCAGTGCTGTATTGACAGGGTAGTCTTGAGTTTTGTGCTCAATGGTATGAACTTGATTTGATTTGTGTCAGGTGGAATTGGTACAGTTCTTGCAATACAAGTCATGGGGAAAATATTTTATGTCTGCATAAAATGCATAAAAGTTTTGTTGTCCAATTGCTTTGTAACTAATGATCCACATTCAAACAAATATAGCAACACTCAAAGTCTCTCTGACAAAATAATCAGACTGGTACTGCTGTGAAAATGAGACAGTAAATCAAACGACTGGATTTACTGAAATCACAACAAGAATTAGTTGCGCCAAGAGTTTTATTGAGTCCCTCTTTGGTTAACATGTAGATTTATTAACTTAATCTAAAAGTCAATGAGCTGAGTATTAAATTTGCAACATTTGCTCAGTAGATTTTATAAGTCTGCTGAAGCAGTAATGATATATGCATTGATCAAAGTTAAGCCCAAACACTATCCAATTCTATAATTTATCATTTAGAATCTCTACTGCTTGTGTCATTTTCAGAACCATGATCATTCATGCATGGCCTGTCGGATAATTTATCGATCAGATGAGCATCACCCTCCCATTCTACCTCCAAAGGCAGACTTAACTGTAGGGCTGCACGGCCAATGGGTGAGCCAACGGTGTGAAGTTCGGCCAGAAGTGCTCTTCCTCACCCGGCACTTCATCTTCCATGACAACAACAACACCTGGGAAGGGCATTACTACCATTTCTCGGACCCCGTGTGCAAGCATCCAACATTCACCATCTACGCCAAGGGCCGTTACAGCCGAGGCATCCCTTCCACTAAAGTGATGGGAGGAACAGAGTTTGTGTTCAAAGGTAATATCAAAATGGCTGATTAATGTTCCTAATTGTGAACCCTGCTGGGTTAGAGGAATCATTTCTTGTCTTGTTGGGCGTCATATCCCCAAAGCAAACTGCTCTTAGTTTCTAAACTCATAGTATTTGAAACAGCCATTAACTGCTCAATGCTTCAGAAATGTTGTTATGAAGAGGTTAAACACATGTAGGTAAACCTTGCAGAGCGCCCACCATATGTACTGCTTGTAGGTGGCACCCTGTTTTCAGTTGTCCTGCCCCAATGCTCCCACTATGTGTCATCCTTAAAGCTCATCGACAAGCGACAGGGTAGCTCAGTGGTTAGTACTGCTGCTAATAGCTCCAGAGACCAGGATTCGATTCCAGCCTTAGGCGACTGTCTGTGTGGAGTTTACATGTTCTCTCTGTGTCTGTGTGGGTTTCCGTTTGGTGCTCTGGTTTCCTCCCACAGTCCAAAGATGTGCAGATTAGGTGGATTGGCCATGCTAAATTGTCCATAGTGTTCAGGGATGTGGGGGCTAGGTGGGTTAGCCATGGGAGAATGGGAGATGCAGAGCTATAGGGATGGGGTGGATCTGGGTGGGATGCTCTTCGGAGGGTCAGTGTGGACTCAGTGGGCAAAATGGCATCTTTCATTTGCAGGGATTTTATGATTCACATTACCCTTCCTGCAAAAACTTAAAATATTGTTGAATTATTTGTGGTATTGGCCAAAACATTTTTTCTCATTTTCCAATAGTTTTATGAGCAATAAAGAAAGTTTTTGAAGAAAATTTCAAACCGTTTTTCTGAACTTTTTCACTGAAATATTTCACTGGGCTGCTTAATACACTTCTCTTCCTGGTGACTTAAAAATAGGCCTGAAATCAGGTTTTCACCTCGAGCAAAGAGACTGTAAACATAACTTCACGTTATCTTATGGCCACCAAATCATCATACCTGTGTCTGAGAGCAGAAGGCTGAAGATTGCAGCATGCCATAACAATGCTTGTATTGCATTGTGAATAGTTAACTATGCATGATCAGCTATAGAGGGGCTGTCAAAAATGTGTCGTAGCTGGCATTTCAATCCCCTAGAGCATTAGTGTGACTGACTTTTACTTTATCAAACAATGCAGGCATTCAGATTCTGGAAGCAAAATGTATTCATAGTTTGTGATATGTCCAAGTGGCCCTTTCCAGATGAATTCCTATCCTTACAATTCAAACCACTTACAAACTTCATTATAATCCTGCTACTTAAAGTGTAAAATGATTTCACGAATGCTATGACTACGTGTCTCAGTGCATAAGCCATGCAGAGCATGGTCAACCCTACTACTTAATGCTTTTTGTTTTTCTACAGTAGTGTTAGATATTATATCTGAAGTAGGTGCTGTGAACTGCATTATATACTCCCCTGCTGGGGAGGTTGGAATGTGATGGGGTGGGGCGATGCCAACCCCACCCTGCCCCCCCACTGCAATTCCACCAGCAACCAAATCAATGGCTGTTGGGCAGCTTCTTTTCCCTGGCAGAATTGTCCCTGACCTTGCAGCCACCAGCTCCACAAAATCCAGCCTCGACTCTTTAGGCTTGTTAAATTGTTTTATTCTGCAACTTGTGAAAATTTACTGATCTGTTCTTGCGGCTGGTGAGAAGCTGTTCACACTGGAGAGCAAAGAATATTCCCGAAAATGACAAATTGTAGAAGGTCTGTCTGTGTATCAGAACGATTATCGTGATGAGGATGTCACAGGGCTTCCAAGTGGATCCCACACCTGCGCCAATCCAAACAAAAATCACTGGAGGTGTGCACACAATGTTAGCTGTAAAGTGCATAAAGTGCACTGTTGGCAAAGTAACAAACAGCTAAGCTACACCATTGGAGCTGTGCTTTCTTCTCCCATCGGTGGTCTATTAGCTCTAATGTCCTTCGCGCATAAAGTAAACGTATGCATCTTTGTTCTTTATTTTTTTCATGGGATGTGGGCATCTCTGGTAAGACCAGCATCAGTTGCTTATCCCAAATTGAACTGAGTGGCTTGCTTGAACTTTTCAGGGTAGTTAAGAGTCAACCACACTTCCATGGGTCTAGAGTCACATGGAGGGCAACCAAGGATAGCAGATTTCCTTCCCTAAAGAATATTAATGAAGCAGATCAGGTTTTATAACAATGGTTCCATTGTAACCATTAACGCTAGCTTTATAACCAAGATAAATTAATTAGAATTAGGTTTATTGTCACTTGTACTCAAGTACAGGGATACAAGAATGAACAATGTACAAGGTTATCATTCCCGGTGCCATCTTAGGTACCTAGGTATAAAATTCCATGGTGAGATTTGAAACTATGGCCCTAGAACATTAGCCTAGACCTCAGGGATTGCTAGACTAGTAATATTACCACTGTGCCACAGCCTCTCCTGAATTCCTTTGAGTATGCATTGAAATAATGGCAGAGGAAAACTGAATTCTCATTTAAAAGCACTCTTGCTTCACTGGGTAAATTAATCTCTATTGTTATAGTAAAGAGAATTCTACACTGCATCAAAGATATGAACCGTTCCCTGGAACCTTCTGGCCCAAAATGGGAAATTTTCCCCTTCCAACTGTTGTAATGCCCTTACTTTGGAATCTAAAAACACATTGAAATCTGCAAACTTTCCCAACATTAAAAACAGTAACTGTAAACTCTTCACTGAGAACTATTGCCGCCCAATGTAGTCTGAGCAAATGTAGATAGTATAGTTTTATTGACTGTTTTGTATAATCTTCTCAAATTTCATTCCAGTGAACCACATGAAGGTAACACCAATGGATGCTGCTACTGCATCTCTCTTGAACGTCTTCAATGGAAATGCATGTGGTGCCGAGGGCTCCTGGCACGTGGGAGTGGAGCAGGATGTCACTCACACCAATGGCTGTGTGGCTCTGGGGATACGCCTCCCTCACACAGAGTATGAGCTCTTTAAAATGGAGCAGGATGCTAAAGGTCGATACCTGCTGTTCAATGGACAAAGACCTAGTGATGGATCCAGTCCAGACAGGCCAGAGAAGAGGGCTACATCTTATCAGGCTCCTTTACTCCAGTGTGCTGCATCTGCAGTGGGATTGGATGAGTCAGTAGAAGATGGCAAACAAGCCAGATCAATCAATGATGGATCAGAGAGAATTGAGCACTCTGGTGGCGCTGTTGTATTACTGTTTATTTGTGCATTGCCCTCATTGATCAAGCATATGTTGAGCTAAGTGCAACCTCGTCTTCCTAATGTTTCTATGACGGAAAACTCTGTTGACTAGAAATTTTTTCTCCTTCCAGACAGTTAATTGACTTGATGCACTTCAATGCTGAAATATTGTTCCTCCATTTGAAGGCATCAGTATGATTTTTCCACTTTGAACTCCCTCCAGTCAATTTCAGACATGGAACAAGTAGCATCTACTGCACAACCGTAACAGCACTTTATTACGATGGAAGACTTTATCTGGCACACACTGTAAAAATGTACATAGTTTGCCAAGTATATTCAAGCTAGCATCATCGGTGGCATTCTCCTCCCAACGCCTATACGCTTCAGGTAACTCGAGAGGACATTTGTAATTGGTCAATTGAACTAGTTTTTGTATATTTGAGTCAATAGTTTCAATGTACAAGATCTGGAGTTATAAAAATGAACTATCAGTAAAAGTTAGAAAGAAGGTATTGTATTCCTTACACAGGAACACCAGTAAAACAAAATGGCATCAATTAAGGTAATAATTAAGAAAATACTGCTTTTACATTTTATTTTTACTTACATTAACACAAGTCAATATCTGTATTATTTCTACAAAATAATTTTTCTGCTGTGGGTTATGTGTGGCACTTGTTTATCAGTTACTTTGTTAACAATCTAGGTATAGGTTTGACATTATTTATATACCAAGCCACCAGATTTTTTTTACTGGTCTGGTTTTAACTTCTGGCATCATTAATTTTCTTACGATTTTAGAAAGCACGTACTTTTGAGAAGTGCTTTTGGGCAATTATACAAGTAAATAATTATAATGTTGATTAACTCCTGTCTGATGTAAAGGTTCTTGTCTTTTTTCCTGCTCCCTTTTCCTACAACATTTCGACAGAAATCATAACAATGCTTCATATCAAATCAAGGGACCCGATGCTATTCTAAAATTGCAAATGATGTGCCATAGTTACCAGTGAGAATATGATTCAAACCATATTTAATTTATGACAAATCACTTGGAAACCTTGTAATAATGACATAAGATAATAGGAAATAGGTTAAAGAATAGGCCATTCTGTCCATAGGACCATCAGACATAGGAGAAATGGAAGACCATTCAGCTTGTCACATCTGCTCTGCTGTTCAAAGAGACCTGATAATCATCAACTTCACTTTCCTGCCTTTTCTACATAACCTTGATTGCCTTCCTGATTAAAAATTTGTCTGTTTCGGCCTTGAACATGCCTAATGACCCAGCCTTATCAGTCCTCTGTGATAAAGAATTCCATAGATTTACTACCCTCTTGAGAGAAGTAATTCCTCCTCGTCTCTGTCTTAAATGGGTGACCCTTTATTCCGAGATTATGGCCTTTGTTCCTAGACTCTGCCACGTGGGGAAACAACTTCTACACATCTACCCTGACAAGTCCCCTAAGAAGCTTGTATGTTCAATAAGGTTGCCTCTCATTCGTCTAAATTCCACTGAATACAGGCCTAACATACTCAACCTCTCCTGATAAGACAGTCCCTCCATACCTGCTATCAGCTTCGTGAACCTCCCCTGGACTGCATCCAATGCCAGTATATCTTACTTAGGTAAGGGGCTCAAAACTGTTCACAGTATTCAAGGTGTGGTCTGACTAGTGCCTTGTATAGTCTGAGCAAAACCTCCCAACTTTTACATTCCTTTCCCCTTGAAATAAAGGCCAACATTTTACTTGCCTTCCCTATTATTTGGTTGCTAGCATTTTGTGATTCAGGGATGAAGACTCTCAAATCCCTCTGTTCCATACCTCTCTGCAGTCTCTTCCAATTTAAATAATATTCAGCTTCTCTAGTCTTCATATTTTGTCTTCACCTACATCTTCCTGCATTATCCCAAATCCCTATTCACTCAGTGTCCAAAAGTCTTCATTATATTCAGTGACTGAGTATGATGGAAAATTTTAAAGATTCTCAATCCTCAAACTGAAATAGTTTACCGTTTATTCCGAGATTATGATCCTTGATTCTCGATTCCAGGGTGAGGGAATCATCCTCCCAGAATTGACCCTGTCAAGCTCCTTAAGAATTTTATGTGTTTTAATGTTTTTTGAACTTAAATAATTAAAGCCTCATCTATCCATTATCTCCTCAGAAGACAATCCCTTCATTGCCCTCATCCATCACTCTAGTGAACCTATACTTTACCTTAAATCCCTGGAGAGTGATCACCAGCACTGCCTTTGCAAACTCCCGTAAGTCCTATGGAAGGATATGCACACCAGTACAAGCATTCTCTCCCCAGGCCAATATCTCCAGTATTGAAGCACTAGTTGTGTATGACTGACTGCAGTGAGCAGGTCACATGGTCTGTGTGTCTGACGCAAGACGCCCTAAATGAGTGCTGGGCTATTTTCTAGGTCTGTAGATTGTTAAGGTGCAAAGATGACCTTTTGTAGAGTGATGAGCTCTTCAGATGTGGGAGATTAAGGTGAGTTTCCATGTTACTGATAATTATGTCTGCAGGAAGTGTGTTTGGTTGCAAATCCTATCAGATCCTATATGATCCTTGATTCTCGATTCCAGGGTGAGGGAATCATCCTCCCAGAATTGACCCTGTGTTGGTGGATGTGTTGGTTGGAGCGGCAGTTAGAGGCAATGTGGAATTTACTGGAGCTAGGGGGTCTGATGGATGGCATTTGCAGGAAGGGGGAGAAACTGAAGGTACCGTCAGGTAGAAGGGATAGGCAGGTAGTGCGGGAGTCTCCTATAGCTATCCCCATCTCAAACAAGTATGCTCTTATGGAAAATATAGAAGGTGATACACTCTCAAGGAAATGTAGCACAGACAGCCAGGTTTCTAGTGCTGAGACTGGCTCTAATGTAATGAGGGGTACATCAGGTTTCAAGCGATCGATTGTGATAGGGTACTGTCCAGTGAGAGGCACAGAGAGACGATTCTGCAATGGACAATTAAACATCAGAATGGTGTGTTGCTGTCCTGGTGTCAGCATCAAGGATATCTTGGAGAGGGTGCAGCAGGAGGTCATTGTACATATTGGAACTAACGATACAGGAAAAGAAAAGGACAAGATTCTGAGGACAGAATGTAGGAAGTTAGGCAGGAATTTAAAATGTAGGTCCTCAAGAATAGGAATATCTGGATTACTCCCGGTGCCACGAGTTAGTGAGGGTAGGAATAGGAGGATAGAGCAGATGAATGCATAGGTGAAGACCTGGTGATGCATAGAGATAGATCAGAACTAAAAGTTAAAGTTCTAATTTGAAGGAAAGCCAATTTTGACAGCATTAGGCAAGAACTTTCAAAAGTTGATTGGTGGGGTGGGGCGGATATTCACGGTTAAAGGGACGGCTGGCAAATAAGCCTTCAAAAATGAGGTAACGAGAGTCCAGAGATGATATGTTCCTGTTAGGGTGAACAGCGAGGCTGATAGGTGTAGGGAGTGTTGGATGACGAGACAAATTGAGGCTCTGATCAAGAAAAAGAAGGAAGCATATTCATAGAATCCCTACAGAGTGGAAACAGGCCCTTCGGCCCAACAAGTCCACACCCACCTTCGGAGTATCCCACCCAGACCCATCCACCTATAACCCACCTGATCCACACATCCCTGAACACTATGGGCAATTTAGTATGACCAATCCACATAACCTGCACATCTTTGGACTGTGGGAGTAAACTGGATCACCTGGAGGAAACCCATGCAGACACGGGAAGAATGTGAAAACTCCACACAGACAGTCACCCAAGGGTGGAATCAAACCCAGGTCCCGAGCGCTGTGAGGCAGCAGTGCTAACCACTGAGCCATCGTTCTGCCCAGGTATAGGCAGCAGGGATTGAGTGAATCCCTAGAAGAGTATAAAGGCAGTAGGAGTATACTTAGGAGGGAAATCAGGAGGGCAAAAAGGGGACTGAGATAGCTTTGGCAAATAGGGTTAAGCAGAATCCAAAGGGATTCTACAATTACATGAAAGGTAAAAGAGTAACAAGGGAGAGAATAGGGCCCTTTAAAATCACAAGGTCAGCTATGTGTGGAACCGTAGGAGATAGGGGAGATACTAAAGAAGTATTTTACAATAGTGTTTACTGTGGAGAAGGATATGGATGATACAGAACATGGGGAAATAAATAGCAACATCTTGAAAAATGCCCATATTACAGAGGAGGAGGTGCTGGAAGTCTTAAAACTGTTAAAGGTGGATAAATCCCCAGCACCTGTGGGAAACTAGGGAAGAGATTACTGGGCCCCTTGCTGAGATACCTGTATCATTGATAGCCACAGTGAGGTGCCGGAAGACTGGAGGTTGGCTAATGTGGTGCCACTATTTAAGAAAGGTGGTAAGGAAAAGCCAGGGAACTATAGACTAGTGAGCCTGACATTGATGGTGGGCAAGTTGCTGGGGGGACTCCTGAGGGACAGGATTTGCATGTATTTGGAAAGGCAAGGACTGATTAGGAATAGTCAAAATGGCTTTGTTGTGGGAAATAGTGTCTCACTAATTTTATTGAGATTTTTGAAGACATAACAAAGAGGATTGATGAGGGCGGAGTGGTAGACTTGACCGATAAGGCGTTTGACAAGGTTCCTCATGTAGACTGGTTAGCAAGGTTAGAACTAGCTATTTGGATACAGAACTGGTTCAAAGGTAGAAGACAGAGGATCGTGGTGGAGGGTTGCTTTTCAGGCTGGAGATCTGTGACCGGTGGTGTGCCACAAGGATAGGTGCTGGGTCCACTGTTTTTCATCATTTATATAAATTATTTGGATGTGAACATAGGAGGTATGGTTAGTAAGTTTGCAGATGACACCAAAATTGGAGGTGTCGTGATCAGCGAAGAAGGTTACCTCAAAGTACAGTGGGACCTTGATCAGATGGGCCAATAGACTGAGGAGTAACAGATCTAGATAATTGTGAGGTGCTCCATTTTGGAAAGGCAAATCAGGGCAGGACTTATACATTTAATGGTAAGGTCCTGGGGAATGTTGCTGAACAAAGAAACCTTGGAGTGCAGGTTCATAGTTCCTTGAAAGTGGAGTCACAGGTAGGCAGGGTAGTGAAGAAGGCATTTGGTATGCTTGCCTTTATTGGTCAATGCATTGAGTATAGGAAGCGATAGGTCATGTTGCAGCTGTACAGGACATTGGTTAGGCCACTTTTGGAATACTGTGTGCAATTCTGGTCTCTCTGCTATAGGAAAAATGTTGTGAAACTTGAAAATGTTCAGAAAAGATTTACCAGGATGTTGCCAGGGTTGGAGGGTTTGAGCTATAGGGAGAGGCTGAATAGGCTGGGGCTATTTTCCCTGGAATGTCAGAGGCTGAGGGGTGACCTCATAGAGGTTTATAAAATCATGAGGAGCATGGATAGAGTGAATAGTCAAGGTCTTTTCACTGGGGTGGGTGAGTCCAAAACTAGAGGACATAGGTTTAAGGCGAGAGGGCAAGGATTTAATCATAGAATCTGTACAATATGAAAACAGGCCATTCGGCCCAACAAGTCCACAATGCCCCTCCAAAGAGCATCCCACCCAGACCCATTCCTCTACCCCTGCATTTCCCATGTCTAACGCACCTAACCTAAACATCCCTGGGCACTATGGGCAATTTTAGCATGGCCAATCCACCTAGCCTGCACATCTTTGGACTGTGGGAGGAAACTGGAGCACCTGGAGGAAACCCACGCAGACACGGGGAGAATGTGCAAACTCCACACAGACAGTCGCCCGAGGGTGGAATCAAACCCGGGTCCCTGGCGCTGTGAGGCAGCAGTGCTAACCACTGAGCCACTGCGCCACCCTAAAGTGCAACTTTTTCATGCAGAGGATGGTGCATGTATGGAATGAGTTTCCAGAAGAAGTGACGGAGGTTGGTACAGTTACAACATTTAAAAGGTATCTGGATGGGTATACGAATAGGAAAGGTTTAGAGGGATATGGGCCAAATGCTGGC